TCTGTGTGCAATTTATTCTTCCCACAGCCGCCTTCTTTCTCGTTTTCCAACGACTGGGGATTTGGCCTAAGAATTGTAGGGCACAGTAACAGTGCTAAGAAGCTATGTAGTGATCTCTCATACACGGCTCGCACGAGGTCACGTGACTGCAAGCTTTGACCGATCTTAAGGATAGCTGCAGACCACGCCAGAGCCCCCACAGTGGCCTGACCGCAGTTCACAATAGCTTGGCCTCCATCCATCTAGTCAATTACTTTCAGGGCCAAAATACAAGGACCTAAATGCGGTGACTCTCATCAGGCATGCACTTCGGATCGAGCCCCCCTTGCGGATGGACGTGCGATCCGATGCTCTAATCTACTCCTACCTATTCTCGATTCCTTCTGTACAGAATAAACTCGTCCTACAACTCTGGCCTGTCAACGTCTTCTTCTTCTCCTATGGAACCGGGCTTGAAAGGTCGTATTGACAAGGGTAAACCTTATTTACCTTCATTCCTGTATAGCTACACACTAAGACCGAATGCTTGTTTATATTGTGGTACTGTCGAGAGATTTTTGTGACTAGTTTTGGGCAGTTTGCATAGTAATACTAAACAAGAGTAGTCCTACTTACTACGAGTCAAAAGCCCTCTTATATTCCGCTTCCGCGACGATTGGAAATCCGTAAAATGAATGCGCAAACGTCTTTTTCATTTTTGATATCCTCCTATACGCAGTATTGTCTACGATGCTCCTAGTGATATCATCGTCAATGTAGACAAAGTTTGGCGAAGTGAGGACCTTCTCCATGCCCTCCGTCTCAGAGACCATTTGCGTTCGCATCCAGAGTCGGCCGAACGTACTTTCCGGACTGGCCTTCTGAAATAGCAGTGAAAAAACAGCGGATTAATTTATCGCTGCATCTAAAATGCCGCGCATGCTTTTCTCACTACGAGGATAAATCCAAGTTACGATTAGAGAGTGTAGCCAGTAGCAGATGCACAAAAAAATAAGGAATCACCAAAGCGGACTGAACATGAAGCAGGGTCACCTGCTGATCAGGGATAATTTTTAAGCAATTCAAATG